ATTACTATTTCTCATTTCTCTTTGCTTTTATAACATACTATTATTCATACATATAATTTCATGATCAAGATCTAACTTCTACTAATAAAAAATATAAAGATCATTTATATACTTCCATATTACTTCCCAGGTGGCACTAGTAAGAATCTGCCTGCCAGTGCAGGAGATGCAACAGATGCACGTTGAATCCCTGGGTTGGGAAGATCTCCTGGAGGAGGAAATGGCAACCCACTCCAGTACTCTTGCCTGGAGAATCCCATGGACAGAGGAGCCTGGTGGGCTACAGTCCATGGGGCCACAAAGAGGTGAACACGACTGATTACGCACACAGGTATCATTTTCACATTAGTAAGTAAGTGACTGGGACTTTCCTGGCAGCCCAGTGGTTAAGGCTCTGTGCCAAACCAGGAGTCGGACAAGGCTGAGCACACATGCACGCACAGATCAGACACGGCTGAGCAGGACACAAGTGTGACCTAGGATCCCCCAGGCCAAACAGCGCAGTTAACAAAAAAAAAAGAAAAAGGTGGTTGAAACACAGAAGCTGGTTATTGTATAACTGATTACGCAGCTTTATCATGGAATACAGGAAAGTCCCTTGGTATCTGGAAGGACTAAATTCAAGAGCCCGGTGAACTACTTATGAGTTATGTAAAGTTTCAGGATGGTGGAACACACCTCCTACTGTGCCCGGCAGGCCAGGTGGGAAGTCCTGAATTGTTCTTTCTCTTCCTTTCACTGGTGGTTTTAAAGAGACCTGGGAATACAGAGCTACAGTAATAATTTTTCTTTTACTTTTGAAATAAATGTGAGGCATATTAGTTTAATTCAGTTTCATTTAGATGAAGCAGCTGTCTTGGCAGCAACAGGTAATGCCTTAACTATCATAATTAACATTACTTTTAGGAAAATGTAATTCTGTGTCACCTCTAGGCAGACCTTTTCTCTTGGGCATCTTTCTAAAGGAAATAAAATTATATTTTAAAATATTAAAGAAACAAGCCAGCAATTGTAATGCCCCAGTGAATCCTGAAAATTTATTATTTGGGAGAATATCAGATATTGATCCTTTGTTTTACAGCTCATGATAATAATCAGAAAATATACATTTTGAAATGACAGTCAAAAGAAAAGAAATAATTACATATAATACAGATTACAGGTATTTTACTTGTACAGAAGCAAAGCAGTACTAAAAGCATACTTAGGGGTTCATAGTAGGTGAACATGGCAATTTTCTGTTTAAAGCTGCAGCAACTCAAATCCTCTTCGGGTCAATAAAGAAAGACAGATTGAGAAATACATTTAGGGCTTATCACTGTGTCTGGCTGTAAACCTATTTTTTTAACCTTTCCCCTCCCCCCATATATATATGTATATACTTTATTGCCTTTATATTTCTGCTGGTTTAATATAATTAGTATACTAAATAGTTATCTGCATTTATTTGGTTTCTAAAAATATATAAAATGCATTGGAATAGAGCTCCTGCAGCTTTCAAGCAGTCACTGTCCTGGCATCGAAAGCTTATTCTGGAAATGTAAAGCAGCAAGACTGAATAAATAGTGATTGTTTTGTCTTCTCCATACAGCTGATGGCCTTCAACCCAAACTGAAAAACACTGTAGCAAATAGCATAAACATGCAACTTAAAAAAAAACCCAAAATTGACATAATATAAAAGTAAGACTTAATGAGCTAAATTTTAATACAATATGGACTAATAAAGACAACTTTAGGTAGAAGAGGGATGTGAACACAGAACTGTTATTTACATATAAATTAAGGCCCAAATTTTCAAAGGCAATGTACACAGGGAACCGTCCATCTGCTCATGCCCTTTGCACACCTGAAGTCAAGAGGTTTTTTCTGCCTTTTCCATGTTATTTCCTCAATCTGTTATTATAGTTCTAACTTGGAAAGGTGTTCACAGAAGTGGATTTAAATGAAGTTTCTTTTCTTGAAAGGCCACTTTGCTCTTATTCACAAAGAAAATATTCTTTTAGTGCAGGTAAAAAGTATTTATATTCTGGAAGCGAGTGCTTTTTTGTTCTTCTTAAACATTGTTAATATTCACCTTTCACAGCGTAAGTTCTATGTTTTTACTGTCTTAGTCGTTTTAGCTTTCATCTACAGTTAATTTGAACTACAGAAATTGATGACTAGCTCAGTGATGGCTGAGGGAATTAATTATTTAGGTAACTCCTATTAACACCAACCAAAATCTCACATAAATTCCCCATACATCAGGAAAAAAAAAAAAGCTAACCAAAATATTTCATCAGAAAAAAAAAAAAAAAGGACTGAGGCAACCCACTACGGATCATTCTCTGAGGATGACAAACACTCCAAAGGGTCAAATATACTAATACTATTTCAAATCATCCCTTGGTAAGGAAAAAAAAAAATCTTCTAATGTATTTAATACCTGTAGAAAATCACAATTAAACAACTTTCAGTGTAACAATAATTTAAAAAACTTATAATCGAACTTAGTATTCAGAAACTGAATATTCCCCCAGATGCAAAATTTTCTATTTAGTATTTTTGCATACCAGTGCCCACTTCCCCTCTCTGAAATATATCCAAAGATGTGGTACTTAATCTAATTCATTGTATTTACAATAGATAAAAATGATCAGAAATAGACTAAGATATTTTTAAGATGTTTTAGGGAGATGACTTTTCTTTACTCTATTTTAAAAAAAGACTTTAGAAAAGATTTCTTAGAGATGTACTTCCAGAAGTCATATAACTGGTTAAAAAGTACAGCTGCTCGTTGTGTTAATCAAATTCACATTTATATAATCTTCTTATCTAGGAAATAGTATTTCTATCTGTAATTAGGTCTGTGAAGATTATTTGGCAGCTTGAAAATTCAGATGAACTGTCAGGATCCGGCCAGCCTTTTTTGAAAGTTATTAGGTTAATGCTGATAATAACTGACAACAATTGCATTGGATCCTGACTTTTTGTTTTTCATGGTATGCCCAGGTATCTTTGCAATGAAAAATTGCAAAGTCTAATATGTCTTCAGTTTATCGTTTTGATTTAAATAGAATGTAATCAATTTATAAAAATTGTTTTTCTTTGTGAATAAGATCTCAATTCTCTGAACAACAATAACAAAATGACCCAGTATAGAATGGAACCTTTTAAAAATAAGGCATATATCGGGCATACATAAACCATTATTATCAGAAAATCTACAAATTATTTTGATTTTTTAATTCTAATTTTTAAATATATATAGATATGAAATAACTATTACAAACTGAGAGCAAATGTGTATAGGTTGTGGTTATTAGGTAAGAATCATTGATTTATCAAGTTTTTTTTGCAAAACAGTATAATGGCAAGGTCAACTTGGTAATTCTAAGAACCCAAAGAAAATATCTTTAGTTGAGGTCTGCCATTTAGCTGGATTAGAAAAGGCAACTATGCATTATTACTTTCAGTTCTCTAGAAGCTTCTAAACATTGTCATAGCCATTCTTAAAAATTTTCATTGGAAACCTAAATATAGCAGCATTCTTAGCATTCATTAAACCAAAAATAAGTCAAATAAGTTTAAAACATCCAAAGTTGCCCTCATGCATAGCGTATAACTTACATCTTTTTATTGTTACCATGGCATTAATATACTAACCCACTTTTATTCTGTTGCATGTCAATAATATAGACAATATGTTTTCCTCAGAATTAAAAACTATTTTAAATTTAGAATAAAGTCTAAATTATATTGTACCAAATTCTGATCAGAGGGAATGTAAAAATGGCTAGGTATCTGACCACATCCATCCAGATAATCTGGCACATCTCAGGTCAGTACTCATGGGAGGGGTGTTGACTCATTTTTGGTTTTATAAATAAGAAAATATATGCACAGAGGGAGCTTCATGTCCTGTAAAAGTCGAGCTGAAAATTAATGAAAACAAACACTGAATTTAACTTTATTTCCTTAGTAAAAAGTACCTAACTCCAATCTACTTTCTGTCTAAATGACTGGAGAAATTGCAACTGTTTATAATGTACACAGTAAATTATGTGCAAGCAATAACTTATCCAGGGTGCTTTCAGCAATAACCATACATACAAAGTGGGTTATTTTTAAAAATATATCACTTAAAGCAACCTTCCTGAAAATATCCTCAGACATCTCTAATTTGTCTACTATGGCAACTCTGAGGATCCATGAGACTAAAATAAAAGGCAGGGCAGAAACAAAACACATCATGTTACGGGAAACCCCATGCCTGTTGGACAGATATTCAACAAGTATATTTTTGTTCAACAGTGTCTGAAGCACTGCAAACATTTTAAACATATATATAAAATTGACTTCATGAAAATATTTCCGTTTTTGTATGTGGTCATTCCTATGCTGGAAATACTGTAAAGGAAAGATTAAGCTTCAGATTAAAAAGAAAACCTGAATTCTCTCACCTAATTAAGCAGTGGCTAGGATGGGTTCACAATGGCAGAGCGCCCTACGACTTGTGGAGCTGTAAGTCAGCAATGCGTGGAGTCTGGCGACATGCACACGAAGTCATTATCACACGATATGTAATTAATTCAGTCACAGGATAAGTATTAATAAAAAATATTAAAACATCAACATTCACTCATTAACTGATTACATGGAATAAATAAACTAAGTCAGTCACATATTTCTCTTCACTCTTAAGTCACGGTTTTATTTACGTATGCACACTGTGTAATACTTTCCTAATGCTCTCAAAATGCTACAAATAAAAATGAAGGCTTGGCATGACAGCTGCTGGACAAAAACGTCAACACTGTGGATGTGTGGAAACACAGATTCTTTGTTCTTTAGCATCAGTGCAGAGGGTATGGCTCCAAGTGGTATGCAACTTAGGACAGAAAAAGATACGGTGGCTTGTGAAACAGAGCCTCTGTTCATCATTGGCACAAAATCAAAGAAGGAATCTTCACTGTCCTTGGTACCTTTACTGGATCTCTACCCTGAAGACAGGTAGCGTTATACATATATGCCTTCAGGATTAAAACCGGACGAGATAGGATTCTGTAGAATACGCAGGTTACTGGGGAGCTGCCGAGAGGAGCCAGGCCGCTTCAGAGACCCGGACTGGAATGGTGCCTCTAAACAAGAAACAGAGAAAGTCGTTTGATGTTTGCACCCGTGACCTGGAGTACTCACTGACATGAGAAATTAGAACTTTCCCTGTTCTCAAGAGCCAAATGATACAGAGTAATGACTGCACCCCCATAGGTTCTGGGTGAGAGGCAGGCTGAGTCTGCTTGACCCTCTCAGTTGATAAAATAGTTTCCAGTCATCTGAGGACTTCATGATCTTTTAAAAACGGTGAGCACTGTGCCTCTCCTTCTGGGAGCACTGTGCCTCTCCTTCTGGGTTGTTCATATCATAGGCATACGCAGATTTAGCACTGTCTTTTAAATACCAGCACAAATTAATAACAAAGACTTTTAGGAGAGGAAGAAGGGGCCTTAGAACAGAGAGAAGTTAACACTCAATTTAATAGACTATAACTCACATATATTTCAGGAAAAGTTTGCAAGGAAACAGTTTAAAATTAATGATAGGATATCTGCCCATCCAAGTAAATAAATAACGTAAATATTATTGATTCTTCCCAGAAAAAATTTCTTTAAGTGACCCAAGAATCAGCTTTGAGTAGTAGGAGAATGTTGCAACCAAATGTAAGTAGTTTATTCAAAGTTAACGGTGAACATAAAGTTTTTTAAAAATAGTTTCTCAAATCTTACCCCTTTCTATGTCTGCATGCAAGGCCTCCACTTCAATGGGTTCCGCTGGCAGAACGGTGACTTTCGTCCCTGTCTGCTGGATAAACTGCTGGAGGTTGACTTGCCGCAGCTCTTTGGTCAACTGCTCCAATTCTTGTTCTTTGTCCTAGACAGAAGTTAAATTTTTTCTAAAATTTAAGGACTCACTCTTGGCCAGCTACAGACACCCTGGTCACTGTCCGCCTGCTGTGGGGTTAACTGTGGGATGCTCACTTTCACAAGAGTGCTTGTAACAAACCCGGCTTATATCGACATTCTGGGCTGAGGAGGCTAAGCTCCCTCAGTGGCATGGGCCAAAAAACAGGCAAATAAAAGACAGCAGCTTCTTCAGTTTGTGCTTTTAAATGGCATGCCTTCCTCTGCTAGGAGTACACTATGTACCTGATGAAATAAATCTATGTCTATAGACTTTCATGAACAAAATACTGGATTCCATCTATCCCAGTGTTTACAGCAATCTTGTTAAGCTCTTCATAACGATACTTCCCCATTATCTACTTCATAAATAAGTGTTAGTCAATCAGTTGTGTCTGACTCTTTGTGACCCCATGGTCTGTAGCCCATCAGGCTCCTCTGTCCATGGAATTCTCCAGGCAAGAATACCGGAATGGGCTGCCATTTCCTTCTCCAGGGGATCTTCCTGACCCAGGTATTGAGCCCGGGTTTCCTGCATTGCAGGCAGACTCTTTACCGACTGAGGCACCAGGGAAGCCCACTACTTCGTAATATACAGCAAAATTAATAGCCATTGGTTCATGAGATTTGGGCTTCTTGTTTTTTTTTTAAACTGTTTTTAGGTTTTCATGAAATGCTTTACTGAGATTTACATTAGAGCAGGAGGAAAGCAAGATTCCCACTATGGGGTTTTTAAATCCTTGACAAGCAGGTATGTGAACTGAAGAGCTCTAAAGTAAGGAGACCGAGTTTGGATGGCCAGAAAGCTCCAAAAGCAAGGAGAAGCATCCTGTTATTCAAATGGACTTTCTTCTTTCTCTCTTAGGGCTCTGTAAGAAAAAGCAGCAGGGCCTCATCTAAGCTGGGTGTGTCTGAAGGGCCTGGTGAGGGTAGGGAAGAGAAAAGAGAAAGGAATGGTGGTTTTTTGCTACTTTGAGTATAGGGGGTACTTGGAGATATCTGAGTAATTTGATTATCAGATACTTTTCACAGGAAGTGGGGTTTACTAATAACAATTTTCATAAGTTAGGGTGTAATATCAAGGCAATATCATTTCCAAATGTACCCTTAAGTGTTTAAATAAAGGGTTGACAGAGGATGAGAAGGTTGTATGGCATCACGGACTCAATGGACGTGAGTTTGAGCAAAGGCTGGGAGATGGTGAAGGACAGGGAAGCCTGGCGTGCTGCAGCCCAGGGGGTTGTGAAAGAGTTGCACAGGACTGAGCAACTGAACAGAACACTATAATACTGACCAGTCACAGGTTAACAACCTCCTGTTACCGAGAAATTCCTCATTTTCCAATATTTGCTGGTATTTCTACCTCGCACTGTAATGAGTGGCAGAGATAGGAAATCTTACCAATTCTTCCTGAAACCTCAGCTTTCTCTGCTTGTGTTCCTCCTCTAAAGCATCTCTTCTCAAACTCCAATGTGCACGGGCGCTATTTGGAGATGCTGTTACTACATACAGTCTGAATTTCTAACCACTGTGCCGTGAAGCCTCATGGTTCACTCTCTGATCCATCATTACAGAGCTTCTAAACCAGCACTGTCCGATACATTAGCCCCTGAACATATGTGGTACTGAGCACTTGAAATGGGGCCAAATATGACTAAAACAGAAATTTAACTTTATTTAATATCTGTAAGCAACTTTATTGAATATTATTTAACTTCAGTTTAAACGTAAGTAGCCAGGGACTTCCCTGGTGGTGCAGCGGTTAAGTGTGGTTTCTATCCCTGGTATGCCTCGCAACCAAAACACTAAAAACAAGTAAATAAATAAAACAGAAGCAATAGTGTAACAAACTCAACAGGGACTTAAAAAATGGTCCACATCCAAAAACAAAAAATCATTAGAAAAATGTTAAGTAACCATTTTATAATCAATTGTGTCTCCTTCTCATTTCAGCTGTTAGAAACGGATACCTCTTTGCAACTCCCATAACATTTACTACCACATTGTCTTTCCAAGAATGGGCATCCAAGAAATAGAATATAAGCTGAGTGATCATGGTCTGAATGTGAAATACAAATGTTCCTGTATGTGGTTTAGAGATGGGAAAAAGTCAGGGAGGAACCTGCCCCTCTGGAGAGGAGAGAAGATGTGGTTAGCAACAAAGGAAGGCGATTACAGTCAGCTAGCCACACAACCTTTGTGAACCCCTTCTCGGCGATCTCTTTCAGCTTTGGTTTCCCTACCGTTAAAAGGAGGAGGTCAGATTCACTGCCTCATCATCAGTGTCCACTCCTGCTCTGAGATTCTCATCACCTGTCTCCAATTACCTACTGCTGCCGCTGCCGCAGTAAGAAAGCTGCTTTCATGGAAAAGGACCTGTGGCTCCAGCTCTCATCTTTGTTTTAGCCTCCCACCTTAGTGTTGTCCTAAGTCACAGAAATTCTAAGAAACTTATAAACCAAGTTAGGTTTCTAACTCTAAATGTAAGGGGAAATGGATAATCATTAAAGAAGATGCCGAAAGATATTAATTCTTTTAAACAGAGGAAACATCCTTTTTATAAAAATGCTCTTACCTGTAGCCGCTTGGTGGCTTGGCCAAGCGATCTCTCCACGGCTTTAATACCATTTTCCAGCCTCAGACTCTGCTGGCCTTGGATGTCAATCTCCCCTCTGACCTTACCGATCTTGCCTTTAACCTCTTCTTCATTTACTTGTGCCTCTTGGACTTCCCGTTGCAATTTTTCTGCTTCAAGACCACTTTCCATAGTCTGAATTTGAGCCAAATAGTCCTTTAACTTGCTTTCACATTCTGTTATTTTCTGTCTTATTTCTTGAAGTTGATCTTTCAGCTGTTTTTCATTTTCCTGTTCAATCTGTAATTCATTTTCCCAAAACTCTTCCTCTTCAATTTCGACATCATTTCTTTTGATCTTTTGCTCCAGGCGGACAATTTCCTCTTCGAGGTTAGAATTATATTTTTGCTCCCAAAATCGTATTTCTATTTCATTTGATTCTAGCTCTTTCTCAATGGATTGGAGCTTCTCTGTCTGCAAACGGATCAGCTTCTTCAACTCATCTGCTGTTGTTTTGCAGTTATTCAGCACCTTTTGCTTAAATTCAGTTTCTTTACCTTTTCCAAAAATGTCCATTAATCCTTTGGCACCTCCTGTAAATGTCAATGATTTTCTTTTAGGTTCTCTCCTTTTGATTGTTTTGTCAATCTGAGGCCTCAGTTTAGCTAAGGGGGGCAAACTCTGCCTGTACAAAGTTCTTTCAGGAATTCGAGCCACGCTATCCGACGTGGGTCGCTCACTGAGAGATGGCCCCGTGCGACGTAAGATCAGCTGTACATCGCTAGCATACTGCCCCCATTTGTTTAAGGATATGATAGGATTTTCATGAGGTGCTAAGTGCCTTTCAGTATCTCTCCATTTTTCTATAAGAGTGTACCTTCCAGTTCGACCTAGATAAAAAAGACAAAAATAAATTTTCAAGATGGGATATGTAATAGCTAAAATAATGCCTCCCAACAGAGGACCTATTGGATAACTGTGTCTTCTCAATAAGCATTTCCTTCCAGTCTACGATGCCTTTAAAACTTTCACTTGAAGATACTGAACTCCTTAAGATATGTAACACATAAAACATGGGATGCGAGTTGCATATACCCTTCAGACTGGCTTTAGAAAATCATCTCGAGTCTTTAAACCTCAGTGAGATTCTTAACCTATCTTCCCGTCAAATGTCTGACTGCCCAGACCTCGTCTGGGGCAAGACCTCCCACTGAGACTAAGAGGGGCACCAGAGAGTCCTGCCTGAAGCCAGGACCTGGTCCCAGGAACCAGCAGGACTTCAGAACTCGAGCAAACGTCTACTTGGTGAATCCCGCCAGTGTCCCTGCACATCAGGACTTGGGAAGCTGGAGCCCCTGTTTCTCCTCCTGAAGGGAGACATGGAGCCAGTGGAGGGCCTGCTGCTCGGCTAACGGGCGCTGGACAGGCCTTCCTCTGTCCCGCCTTCCTGCACACCTGTGGCAAATAAAAAAAACCACCTCAACGAAAACAACTCTTCAAAACAATTTCAAAAAAAAGTGGGACCTGAAGAGAAGTCCTGTTCACTTTTGATAAATAATAACTTCACAGAGTCTTTAAAAAGATTTAATACAAAATCTTAAGCAAATTTAAGCAAAAATACTATTAAAGAACAAAAATAGAATAAAATTATATTTATATTAAAATATACTGAATATAACAGTAATTATGGAAGATAAAGATTCAGGAAACTTTATGTCATTAGTTTGAGTACACTTCCTAAATATTTCCATTTAAGACGTGAGGGTCAGATGGATATTAATTTGTGAAAAGTGTCCATTAGACATCTGAAACTAATGTTATATATCAATGAAAGTGAAAGTTGCACAGTCATGTCTGACTCTTTGCAACCCCATGAACTGTAGCCCGCCAGGCTCCTCTGTTCATGGAATTCTCCAGGCCAGACTACTGGAATGGGTAGCCATTCCCTTCTTCAAGGGAATCTTCCCAACCCAGGGATCGAACCCAGGTCTCCCTGAGCCACCAGGGAAGCCCCTATATATCAATGATATCTCAATTTTAAAAAGTATCCATTAATAGTTAATATTATTACCAAAAAACCTCACCCTGCCATCTAGCAATTCTAATACTGGCTCATATATAGCCACAGATTTATTTTCTGTGTCTTCTGGAGTTTTAATTTTGGGTAAATTACCGAATGCATGGGCAGCATCCCTCCACTTCTACAATGGGGAGGGCAGTAGCACCTCACAGGTTCTGAGAGTCAGTGTGTTAGTCACTCTGCCGTGTCTGACTCTTTGCGACCCCATGGACTGTAGACCGCCAGGTTCCTCTATCCATGGGATTTTCCAGGCAAGAATACTGGAGCAGGTTGCATTTCCTACCCCAGGGGACCTTCCCAACCTAGGGATCGAACCCACATGTCTTGTGCCTCCTGCCTTGGCAGGTGGATTCTTTATCACTAGCGCCATTAGTTGTTACTATTATCGGAAATAGCTGGGCAAAAAAGGAGACTGAAATGTCTTAGCACCCTGGATTTGGCTTTCTGGAATAAAAATGTTCTTAAGATTTTCAGGTTATAAATGACTGTAATTACCCCCAGAAAAAACACATGACCAATCTACAAGGTTAAACTCGTTCCACATGTACACACTGCTTCAAAGATCACAGCACTTTGTGTTCCTGGCTCTGGTGTCCATCAGTGACTTTTAGGATTTCTCTCCTGCCACCTGGACCCCGTGTCCTCACCAGTTTGTATGAAGGGTTAGACAAGGCCAAAGAATGCTCTCTAATCCTACCAGGCCATGAAGCATCTTTAAAAAGAAAACTGAATAATTACACTGTGTGAACGAAATTAAAATCTTTAAGGCCTGTAACTGAGTTGTAATTATATATAAAGCCGGTTCTTCCAATGCTTAATGGTACTGCTATTCCATGAGAATGCCGTGGTAGATTATTTAGAATTGCTTTTACTGCCAGCTTTTCCTTTTTGTTAAATAACGCATATTTAGTGCACTTAGGCAAAAAAAAAAAAAAAAAAAAAAAAATCCAGCAACATAAAAAAGCTTTTTAAGAGGTATGAATTAATACTTTGATTTTATTATAGAAATTGGGTTTTAGATAGTTTATGTAAGAGTTAAATCCCATAATCACTGTTTTTAATACCTATACTTGGCAAGGTCTTACAGAATCTGAATACTTCATTTAGACAGATTCCAGTTCTTCCTGCAGAACTCCTTTTAGTGTAGTTTATTAAATGGATACATTTAGTTCTACCTTGTATACTATCTCAATGTAGCCTAAGACAAATAAAAAGGAATATCTATCTGTGGCATTTGTAGTTTAAAACTTTTGGCTACCTGGGTCTGAATGCCGTAATCTGTAATGATAAATAAAATACTGGCTACACTTTAGAAGAGTTGAGGCAATTGAGTATAATCTCAAGAATCATTAACTTCATATAATGAGGAACATCACAAAGAGATTTTAGTGCAGTAGTGGAATCTCACTGTATGAGTGACATTAAAATGAAATAACAGATGACTTTCACCTAATTTAAAGTGGAATACATGACTTATGGAGTAATATGAAGTTTTAGAAATATATACCCAAATATATACTCAAATATTCAAGTATGAGTCATCCAGAAGCATTATGCCCTTACTTCAACCATTTAAAAAGAGTGGCAACTATTGTTTTAGAAACAATTTTAGGCAATTTCTCCTTAGAGACCAAAAGTAAAATCATCATTTAAAAGTGTCACATCTTGTTATTTATTCAACAAATATATACTGAACAAACATTTATCCGAAATAGTGTCAGGCCATGAGAATATATTCAATTAAACACCCTGATTATGAATGCTCTGCAAAAATTTTAGTTTTAACTGACATTTGATTTTTTTCTCCAGTATCAAATTCTCCTTACTCCAAAGATGAATAATGTATGTTCTTCAAAAGAACATGACAGAGAGCTAGTACTGATTTCTTATGAATTTAATGCCAACATATCCTCCTGTTTCTGGATGTATTATAAGTAATTTCAGTTAATATCTGACTTATTATTCTTTATCTGTGGTGAAAAATCTATCCTGTCTGACTCAGTTTTTCTGACAATACTTTGCCCCTTGAGTTACAAACATTTTGGAATTAGTTAGTGAACCTAATTAATCCATTCCATAATGACTTAGAATTCTTACAATAAACATTGCTCTGTAACAGAACTTACATTGTATCATATATATAAATACATATACACACACATACACACACAGGTCTCTTCCCCTGTGGCTCAGCTGGTATAGAATCTGCCTGCAATGCTGGAGACCTAGGTTCAATCCCTGGGTTGGGAAGATCCTCTGGAGAAGGGAATGGCAACCCCATGGGATTTCACAGGCAACAAAACTGGAGTGGGTTGCTTCTCAGGGGGATCTTCCTGACCCAGGAATCAAACCTGAGTCTCCTGCACTGGAAGGTGAATTATATACATTTCCTGATATACAAGTATTGTGCAAATTTGTCAGTGAATTTTCTGTAGGTCCTGCATGTAGCTATTAAGATAACTTACCATAGAGTATTTATATTATGATGACAGTGACACAGTATAACCTATCAGCTAGCTGTGCATTCAACACATTGTTAAATCATTCACAGTATATCTTCCCAGTGTGTTGATGAGACTATCACATAATCACAGAATTACTGCATATTAATTTAGGACTTACTTAGGATTTTATTACAAATTTACTACCATTAAAAATAATGAACATTTATTGATTTCATAATGATTAGCATTGAGTATGTCCCCTATATGCTAGGCTTTGTGCTGGTTACTTTACATAAATAGTATTAACCAAAATAATAGCTAACACATCAATATAAACCACTAAGTTTGGGGGGATTGTTTATTAATGCAGCATAATCTTACCCATCCTGACTGACGCATGTTGTGAATCACATGTGTTCACATTTGTTAAAATCTTTTAGGGATGTGGAAAATATAGAAGACACTTAGAATTATGGCTGATACACTATACTATTGCTATAAATATAAAAATTGTTGCTATAAATATAAAAATTGTAAAAGATGACCTTGGTTATAAAAAAGCCATATATTTTACTACTAAGGATTTTTAGTTTTCGCTTCAATGTAATTCAGTCGGTAACTATATTTTCTAACAGTTGTCCACTGGGATTACAGAGGATATAAGGAATGCAGTGTAACAGTAGTTATCAGCGGGGTTCTTGAACCAGACTTCTGGTTTGAATCCCAGGATGCTCCTTACCAGCCACAGGAGTTTGGGCAAGTCATTTAACATCTCTGTGCCTTGCTCCATCACCGCCAAAACAGGGGTCATAACAGGGATCTCATACGACTGTTGTGAGGATTAAATGATGTGGAAAATTTAATTCCCAATTCAGTAGTGAAAAGTGAGACTAACTGTGAAGCTTTATGGAGAGTGAAATTTTTTTTTTTTAAAGCTCATCTGTAGGTACATACAAAGCATTGCTTGTAATGTTTACTCTTAGAAGCAAGGTCATCAGTGATTCTTTTACCTTCTCTGTGTTTTGCTAAACTTCAAAACAGTCTACAATAGATAGTGCCACTTTGTAAGCAGATACAAAATTAACCAATTCATAATTTTCTAAAATTGATCATTTATATATGAAATTAAGAGTTAAATGTGATGATATATTATTTTCTTTATCTTCTAAGGGATCATATAATCTTACAGATGAATAGGACATTAGATGGTCCCCAAGTTCAGTCTGTACTGTACAGGTCAGCCTGCACCAATTTCAACCAAGTTCACAGAAATTTTAAAAAATTCATTCATTTATTCACAAGTATGTGTGAGTGTCTACTACATGCTAGACATGGTTTTAAGCTATGGCAATAAGGAATAACCAAA